GGACAGATGAGACCAGGGATGCTGAGGCACGGGAAGGGGAAATAGTTTAACTGCTGGAGTGTGCCGGGGATATTTAGATTGAGTGCATGTTGAACATGATTTGACATAGTGTGCAACGTCCTGCGCCAAAGTGAGCCACCAGTTTCTCAGAAAGGGATTGAGTGGTGCGGGTGATAGCTGGGTGTCCAGCGGCGAGGGATATGTGTGCCCAGGTCAGCAACCAATCTCTGAACCCCACAGGGACATAGATGCGCTCCGGAGGGCAGGTGGCAGGAGCGGGTTCCCTCTCCAGAGCCTTGCGATTGTCCACATCTATGTCCCAAAACACGGGGCCAACGATACGGGAGGACTGAATGATGGGCTGGCGGACACTCACAGGGCCCTCCACTGACGTGGAACCACAGGGTGCGGGAAAGCAGGTCCTCCGACATCCTGGTCCCCAGGTGGTAATCCTCCTCTATGACCAGTAGATGGTGGGGTTATGGAGTTGGAGCCATGGGAGGCCGAGGATGACTTTGTGAATGTGTGCGGTGATGAAGGGAAGGCTTTCCTGGTGCTGTGACATGAGTAATTGTGGCGGATCCCAATGGTTGCATATCCAGAGCTTGGACAGGAAAAGGAGAGGAGAGCATGTATTAAGTTATGTTCAGGGAGGATGTGAGGGCCTGGTCGATGAAGTTCCCAGCGGCACCGGAGTCCACTAGAGCTGTAGAGACAACAGATGACGGACAGCCAGACAGTGAGATTGAAACCAGAAAGGGTTTGGTGGAAAGTGAGGATGGAATACTCACGCCTACCCTGGGATACGGAAGGTTACGGGGCCGCCCCTCTGCTCTAGTGGACCCTGGGTTAGGACGCACTGGGCACCGCTGAAGCTGGTGTCCCTCCTGGCCGCAATAGGAACAGAGCCCCAGCTGTCTTCGGCGACGCCACTCTGCTGCGAAGAGGTGCGTGGCCGCCACCTCCATGGGTTCAGGCTCTGCCTCAGGACAGCCAAAGGAGGGAGGCGAGTGGCGAGGTGGACACCGACGCTCCCGAAGAAGGTTATCCAGACGGATGGCCATTGAGATGAGAGCGTCCAAGGATAGGTTGTCATCTCGACATACCAACTCCGTCTGGACCTCCTCGCTCAGTCCACTGCGGAATAGAGTGCGGAGCGCCGGCTCATTCCATCTGCTGGAGGCTGCCACTGTCCGAAAGGTGAGGGTATACTCCGCATCGGTCTGGGCACCCTGCTGAAGTTGAAAAAGTTGCTGACCTCCCTCTCTGCCCTCTGTAGGATGGTCGAAGACCGCCCTGAACCTCTCATAGGAACCCAACTCATTCTCTCCTCTCTCCCAGACGACCGTAGCCCACTCCAACGCCCGTCCGGTCAGCAGGGAAACGACCTTGGCAACCTTGGACCTCTCGGTGGTGGGGCCCTCAGTCGGGATTCAACCCCTGGTATCATATGAACACACATAATACATGGCAAAATGTGTAGAATTTTGCACGGAAAGACCTTTAAAACTTCAAAAATGACTCTCTGCCACATGGCAAAATCTGTAGAATTGCAGGAAATGAGCATTAAAACTGCAAAATGTCTCTCTGCCAACAAGAGGAGTGTGAACAAATTTAACAGTTTGGGATCGCATGGGATGCGAGGTGGGGGTTTGTTACTACGCCGATAAGTGACAATATCCGTTCGGACCATTGCCACCTAGGAGATTTGTGTGACCAGACCTTCTCAAATAGTACTTGAGTAGGCTACCCCTTCAGTGTAAATATTGCTTTGCCAACTTTGCCTGACAACTTTTGGTTTTATTGAGGAATTGAGTGGTGGCCATTTTGTATTAAAGTGCATGTAGGTGGTAGTAATTGCCTCTGTCTCTGTTAATATGAAAAGTTCTGTGGCATGCTGACAAGCATTGATCCAATATGTCCACTCTGTTCCAAATTCCCAGCGATAGCAGCATAGCCAAACAGTCAACCACACTGTTTGTTGGTTTTCAAATCACCTCTCATATCTGACAATCTATTCCCTGGCCCATAACACATAATTTCACAGCAAAAGAGACCTGATGAGATGGAAAGTGACAATATTATTTTCCTGCCCGGTTCTTCTCCTGCAGAGTTTTGGATCTCTGCTAAATTCTCATAATCCTCACTGACAGAGAGATGATGAATTACCACAACTTCTCGTTACAGTGTGTGGCGTGTACCTACACTACAGTAATGAAATCGCACCCTCTCATCCCTCTTTCAATATTCCACATCTCCTCCTGATTGAATTTGAAATAATTTTAATGAGTCCTATAACAGGAAAATAAAGGCTGTTTTCTTGTTTGGGGAATCACTCAGTGATTTAGCGAGTGAAACAGCATTTCCCTCAGTCAACATGATTAGAGACGGGGTTCCACTGCACCACCTGTCCTAGGCATCCATTGCCAAGTGACAGTTGCCATAGACAACAGGGTGTAGGCTAACGTAGGCTACGCTTACACCAGAGTATAGGCAACCATAGGCTACACGTGTGTATCTCTTGTGTTTTTGACATAGTGCATTTGAGTCACATAAGTGGGTGTGTTGGCGCCAAATTGCATAGAGAAGGTCACAGTATGAATGACATATTTTGTTAAGGCTGCAATGCATCACATTTGTTGTTTGATCTGTGCTACAGTGGCCTTCTCATTTCATACCCATACACTCTTAGAAAAAGGGGTTCCAAAAGGGTTCTTTGGCTGTCCCCACAGGAGAACCCTTTTGGGTTCCATGTAGAACCCTCTGTGGAAAGGGTCCTTCATGGAACCCAAAAGGGTTCTACCTGGAACCAAAAAGGGTTATTCAAAGGGTTCTCCTATGGGGACAGCCGAATAACCATTTTAGGTTCTAGATAGCCAAGGTAGATGCAGTATGCAGGCCAGGATACAGTATCCCAGTTCTCAGAAATCTCAGCTCTCAGAATCTCCACTTACAGAAATAGTCCAACAATGAGATGTGTGAAAATGAATTAATGGTATCGCAAATTAAACCAAGGTAGCTACATACAGTATAGTGATGACAGACAGATAAAAATAACAACTGCATGGTCTAGTATAAGGAAAGACGGCAGAATGCCGAAAACTGCACCATGGTGAAATCCATTTAATTTCATCTCACTCCCTGGTGGACATACCATTAGGCCTATGGGGGGTTTAAGATAAGACAAGCCCAGCTTATCACAGTCAACGATAACTGCAGAAACTAGCAACAGAGGGGATTTGAGGCTACACATTCCTTACCTGTTCCTTCGCTCCCTCTCTCCTTTCTCGCTCCTCTCTCTCCCCTCTCTTGTTCCTCTTTCACTTCTTACGTGCGATACCTTTGAACTGGAGAGCTCAGCTCTAACATAGCAAAGCAAGTTAGAACTGGTGAGCAATACTATAGTACCCCAGTTGAACAGGAATGTATATGTATGGGGTGAAAAGAGGTCAGGATGAATGGTTATGCTAGGTGTAATTGACCGACAAATTACTCAAGGGCCATGTCTAAAGTATAAGTATATGAGTGTGAATACTGTACATTCATTACACTGTATGTTTCATATATGTATTTCAGAAAGCTTTTCCATAAATGGACACATGCAAACTTACATTATACAAATGAAATGTATTGCTACATTACTGACTATACAAGAGCAGCTTGAAATTATTTGACATAATTCCACATTGCTCCATATGACCCTAGAGAAGCAGGTTGCACTCAGGGTTTTTACCATGAATGAATCCATCAAACATCTGGGTACTCTTGCTTTAATGTGATATATCTTCTATCAAAAGGCCATCCTCCCTCCATCCATCACCTACAGCCCAGGATGGCCAACCTATTCTCATTATAGCAGACAAGCCTCCACTTCACAGCGCAGTGCATCATTTAGTGGTAACTCGTACCTGTGAGGGTACTTAAGGAGTGTGTGTGTGTGTGTGTGTGTGTGTGTGTGTGTGTGGAGGAGGAGGAGAAGGAGGAGGAGAGAGAAAGACATAGAAGTATAGCAATACGAGACAGAGGGAGAGGGACGGACAGAAGTGGAAAAAATTGAAATAAGAAAATTATTTCCTACATTACATAGCTTCTACTGTAGCCTCCAGCTAACTGATACAGACAGAGCATGTTCATTTCAACCTGACTCACAGAAACATTATCTGAACCTGTCAGAGCCAATTAAAATACTAGATACTATGATTATTTAAACACAGCGGATTAACGCAAACAAAGTCTGTCAAGGCGTAACGGCATACGATGCTCCCATCTTTAAGGTTGCATACAGAATAATGTTTGTCAATGTAAACAGAGGAGGATGTCACATCTACAGACGCTGATGAGAAATATTTTGTTCAGCTTTCAAAACTTTACAGCCGCCTCCAGCATTTCCTTTGCAGCGCTTTTCTTTCTTCTCTCATTATGAGTTGTATTGAGTGTTAGATTGGCTGATGTCTATGGGTTTCTCTGTCACTACACATTGCTGTCATGATGTGGCTATTAAGAAGAGCAACTGTCAGCTGCTCGCTTTGAAAGCAGTCTCCTCCCCAGCTACATTCATCTTCCAAATGATACATGCTTTGGAATCTCTCTCTCTCTCTCTCGAGAGAGGAGAGAGGGAGAGAGAGAGAGAGCGAGAGAGAGAGAGAGAGCGAGAGAGAGAGAGGAGAGCAGAGATCTGACTCATCTCGTACTCTAGCTCTCTCTCTCGATTCTCTTCTCTCTACTCTCTATCTCTCTCTCTCCTCTCTCTCTCTCTCTCTCTCTCTCTCTCTCTCTCTCTCTCTCTCTCTCTGTCAAAAACTTAAAGCTAATGATGCAGTGAGGCGAGGCAGTGTGGTTGATGGCTGCCCCCGTAGACTCACCTCTCGCCTACCCTTCTGCCAGACAGACAGGACAGACCGACAGAAAGTCATTAGTACCATCACATAATTAGTGAGGGTCTTATTTACCAAACAGCGTCTTTAATGGCGTCTTATCCTTCTTGTCGTCTCCTTTCCAGGGAGTTTGGGAGGTGGAAGGTGAGCAACCTGGCTGTGGAGAGGAGAGACTTCCTGGAGTTGCCGTTGCCACTGACGCCAGAGTTCATCCGTAACATCCGTTTACTGGGTCGGAGACCCACCACCCAGCTCATCACTGACAACCTGATCAGGAAGTATGGGACTCACTTTCTGCTGTCGGCAACACTGGGAGGTAAACAAACCACTGTGGCAATGCTGGGAATTCTGTGGGAATGCAGGATGAGATATAACTGTAGGAGTTGACCCCTATCCACTGATATAGGGTCATATTTTTTCATCCCCCTAATGGTTAGAATAGGGGGTACGGTAATCTGATAATCTGTGTGTAATCTGTGAGTAAATTCCCTATACCACAAAAATGCTGATGTTTAACAGATCTGTATCTAGATCAATTCCACTGACAGCAGGACATGTACAATATTCGTACAGCAGCCTATACGAATTCAGAAGAAGACCTTTCACGAATATGTGTTATCTACATAAATAAAGCTCATTTAAAAACCTCAATACATCTAAATGTACAGTATAACCCTCAGCTACACAGTCAATCTGGAGTGTTTTGATAGATAAGGACTGTGAGGGTGGTTGCTCTTTACAGGAGAACATCTTATTTCAGCTACAAAGCCCTGTGCATGTCGGGGCAGCCAAGGGAATGGGTTTCCTGTTGGAAAGCAACACTTGTCGATTACCTCAGCCGGGCTCCTGGAAAGGTCATAGTTATAAGTGGCTCTGTAAAATGTCCACACACACACACAAACATATACACAGCTGCACTGGCTGATGTGATGTAAGCACAATGCTCTGGCACACAACCAATTCAGAGTAGTATGAGGAGAGGAAGATGAGGAGCTGGTGCTTGGTCATGAGCCAGAGATGTGCTGCTGGCTGCTGACTGGGGTTATAAATTGATTGCCTGTCCGTGTTCTGGAACATGGGATATTAAGGGCACCTTTCTGCAGCGGAGGAAGAAGAACACATAATACAGATTACTATTGATGATATGATGACGCCCTGCCTTATCTCTGGATCTGTATGTATATTTAAGCAATAAGGCCAGAGGGGGTGTGGTATATTTAAGCAATAAGGCACGAGGGGGTGTGGTATATGGCCAATATACCACAGCTAAGGGCTGTTCTTAGGCACAACGTAACGCGGAGTGCCTGGTTACAGCCCTTAGACGTGGTATATTGGCCATATACCACAAACCCCCGAGGTGCCTTATTGCTATTATAAACTGGTTACCAACAAATTAGAACAGTAAAAATAAAGGTTTAGTCATACCCGTGGCATTCAGGGCTCGAACCACACAGTTTATAATTTGCTATTATTCCACAGCATTGTTGAATACTAGTTTCTGATTGGCTAGAAGGGCACTCTAGAGTGGGCATTCAAACCTGATACTGCATAGGGGACAGTTGGAAAAGATATAGGACACCTCTGAAGTAGTTCCAACAATAGGAGCCTTTTTACCTTTCTAAAGCACTACACCATGCAGACCGTACTTGCTATACAAAGTTACAGAAAGCTAAACCAACAACCAAACAAACTGAAATTGGAGACATTGTAAACGCAGGTCCAGCGAGGAAAAACATTTGTTTTTGCAGAGACTTAGGGTGTGTTCGTAAATTGCCACCAGTGTGTCAGAGTGTGCTCTGGGTTGTTTGTTAATTCAGAGCGTTGTCAGATTGTCTGTTTGTAAATTCAGAGCACTTTGCTCTCGGAGCGTTCAGAGCGCACACTGACCCTCTGGCCGAGGGTTGATCTGAGCGTTCTGACCTTGCAACAGCAGTCAAGCACCCAAGCTAACTGGCTAAAGTTGGCTAGCTTGCTAGCTACTTCCAGACACAAATGAGAGAACACCTCACTCTGACCATTTTACTCACACTAGCAGAGCTGGTTTGGCTGTTTTCATTTTATCTAGAGCGTTAGTGACTGTAACTGTGCTGCTGGCATTTATTGACACACGGTCATATTCACCGGGTGTCGCGTGTTCGTAAATTCATCAGTTATTCTGCGCTCTGGCACACAGATGAGAGTGCTCTGAAATCGGAGTAGGTGGCCAGAGTAAATTTACGAACACACCGTTATTATTTTGCAGCATCTGATGACCTAACGTGGCGAGTGATGAACATGAATTTCTCCGGTCCTTCAATGTTGCAGTCTTGACGCAAGTGGCATTATGCTTTCAAATCCTCCCACATTTCTAGTTTGACCAGCTGTTTTCAGCAACTGGTATTGTTGATTTCGATTGTTATACAACTGTTCTATGCCAGGCGAAATCGTGCATTGTCAGCTCATTTTTAAAGATGTATCCAAATAAATGTCAGTAGAAAACAGCTTAAACTAACGCAAATGCTGCTACTTTGCTGTTATTGTGGCGGCATTGTTTGTTAGCCATAGGCATTGTTTGACGTGACTGTGTTAGCCATAGTTAGCTAGCTAACAAGCAAGGGAAAGAACGTTGCCAACCAGCAAAAACTCATAATGAGGGAAGAAAGAAAAGCGCCGCAAAAGAAATGCTGGAGGTGGCTGTAAAAAAAACTGGGCAACAGACTAACCAGGTTTGGTGGGAGGAAGAAAAAGTATGAATTGACTTATCAAAATGAAAATATCAATGAAAACATGGCATTTCTATCTATACCAGTAAATATTTGCTTTAGTATTGTTTTCTTTGGCAACTGTGCTATAAGCGGGATAAAAGCCTCCGCTCTGTACATTACCTTGGAATGCAAGAACTCCGCAGAGGGACTCCGCTAACGCATCGGTCGTCCCACTGAGTTTCCAAGGTAATGTATAGATCGTGAGCATTTATCCCTTACAACAGTCGTGGTCAAAAGTTTTGAGAATGACACAAATATACATTTTCACAAAGTCTGCTGACTCAGTTTTTGTGATGGCAATTTGCATATACTCCACTGCATTTCAGCCCTGCCACAAAAGGACCAGCTGACATCATATCAGTGATTCTCTCGTTAACACAGGTGAGAGTGTTGACGAGGACAAGGCTGGAGATCAAATCAAATCAAATCAAATTTTATTGGTCACATGCGCCGAATACAACAGGTGCAGACATTACAGTGAAATGCTTACTTACAGCCCTTAACCAACAGTGCATTTATTTTAAACAAAAAAGTAAGAATAAAACAACAACAAAAAAGTGTTGAGAAAAAAAGAGCAGAAGTAAAATAAAGTGACAGTAGGGAGGCTATATATACAGTAAAATAAAGTGACAGTAGGGAGGCTATATATACAGGGGGGTACCGTTGCATAGTCAATGTGCGGGGGCACCGGCTAGTTGAGGTAGTTGAGGTAATATGTACATGTGGGTAGAGTTAAAGTGACTATGCATAAATACTTAACAGAGTAGCAGCAGCGTAAAAAGGATGGGGTGGGGGGGCAGTGCAAATAGTCCGGGTAGCCATGATTAGCTGTTCAGGAGTCTTATGGCTTGGGGGTAGAAGCTGTTGAGAAGTCTTTTGGACCTAGACTTGGCACTCCGGTACCGCTTGCCGTGCGGTAGCAGAGAGAACAGTCTATGACTAGGGTGGCTGGAGTCTTTGACAATTTTGAGGGCCTTCCTCTGACACCGCCTGGTATAGAGGTCCTGGATGGCAGGGAGCTTTGCCCCAGTGATGTACTGGGCCGTACGCACTACCCTCTGTAGTGCCTTGCGGTCAGAGGCCAAGCAGTTGCCATACCAGGCGGTGATGCAACCAGTCAGGATGCTCTCGATGGTCCAGCTGTAGAATTTTTTGAGGATCTGAGGACCCATGCCAAATCTTTTTAGTCTCCTGAGGGGGAATAGGCTTTGTCGTGCCCTCTTCACGACTGTCTTGGTGTGTTTGGACCATGATAGTTCGTTGGTGATGTGGACACCAAGGAACTTGAAGCTCTCAACCTGTTCCACTACAGCCCCGTCGATGAGAATGGGGGCGTGCTCAGTCCTCTTTTTTTTCCTGTAGTCCACAATCATCTCCTTTGTCTTGGTCACGTTGAGGGAGAGGTTGTTGTCCTGGCACCACACGGCCAGATCTCTGACCTCCTCCCTATAGGCTGTCTCATCGTTGTCGGTGATCAGGCCTACCACTGTTGTGTCGTCGGCAAACTTAATGATGGTGTTGGAGTCGTGCCTGGCCATGCAGTCATGGGTGAACAGAGAGTACAGGAGGGGACTGAGCACGCACCCCTGAGGGGCCCCCGTGTTGAGGATCAGTGTGGCAGATGTGTTGTTACCTACCCTTACCACCTGGGGGCGGCCCGTCAGGAAGTCCAGGATCCAGTTGCAGAGGGAGGTGTTTAGTCCCAGGATCCTTAGCTTAGTGATGAGCTTAGAGGGCACTATGGTGTTGAATGCTGAGCTGTAGTCAATGAATAGCATTCTCACGTAGGTGTTCCTCTTGTCCAGGTGGGAAAGGGCAGTGGGGAGTGCGATAGAGATTGCATCATCTGTGGATCTGTTGGGGCGGTATGCAAATTGGAGTGGGTCTAGGGTTTCTGGGATTATGCTGTTGATGTGAGCCATGACCAGTCTTTCAAAGCACTTCATGGCTACAGACGTCAGTGCTACGGGTCGGTAGTCATTTAGGCAGGTTATCTTAGAGTTCTTGGGCACGGGGACTATGGTGGTCTGCTTGAAACATGTTGGTATTACAGACTCAGTCAGGGACATGTTGAAAATGTCAGTGAAGACACTTGCCAGTTGGTCAGCACATGCTCGGAGTACACGTCCTGGTAATCCGTCTGGCCCTGCGGCCTTGTGAATGTTGACCTGCTTAAAAGTCTTACTCACATCGGCTACGGAGAGCGTGATCACATAGTCGTCCGGAACAGCTGGTGCTCTCATGCATGCTTCAGTGTTGCTTGCCTCGAAGCGAGCATAGAAGTGGTTTAGCTCGTCTGGTAGGCTTGTGTCACTGGGCAGCTCGCGGCTGTGCTTCCCTTTGTAGTCTGTAATAGTTTTCAAGCCCTGCCACATCCGACGAGCGTCAGAGCCAGTGTAGTATGATTCAATCTTAGACCTGTATTGACTCTTTGCCTGTTTGATGGTTCGTCGGAGGTCATAGCGGGATTTCTTATAAGCGTCCGGGTTAGAGACCCGTTCCTTGAAAGCGGCAGCTCTACCCTTTAGCTCAGTGCGGATGTTTCCTGTAATCCATGGCTTCTGGTTGGGGTATGTACGTACGGTCACTGTGGGGACGACATCATCGATGCACTTATTGATGAAGCCAGTGACTGATGTGGTGTACTCCTCAATGCTGTCTGAAGAATCCCGGAACATGTTCCAGTCTGTGCTAGCAAAACAGTCCTGTAGCTTAGCATCTGCGTCATCTGACCACTTTTTTATTAGCCGAATCACTGGTGCTTCCTGCTTCAGTTTTTGCTTATAAGCAGGAATCAGGAGGATAGAGTTATGGTCAGATTTGCCAAATGGAGGGCGAGGGAGAGCTTTGTATGCGTCTCTGTGTGTGGAGTAAAGGTGGTCTAGAGTTTTTTCCCCTCTGGTTGCACATTTAACATGCTGGTAGAAATGAGGTAGAACGGATTTAAGTTTCCCTGCATTAAAGTCCCCGGCTACTAGGAGCGCTGCATCTGGATGAGCGTTTTCCTGTTGATTAATGGCCTTGTACAACTCATTCAGTGCAATCTTAATGCCAGCATTGGTTTGTGGTGGTAAATAGACAGCTATGAAAAATATAGATGAAAACTCTCTTGGTAAATAGTGTGGTCTACAGCTTATCATATTATACTCTACCTCAGGCGAGCAAAACCTCGAGATTTCCTTAGTATTTGATTTTGTGCACCAGCTGTTGTTTACAAATATACACAGACCACCGCCCCTTGTCTTACCAGAGTCTGCCGTTCTGTCCTGTCGATGTAGCGTATAGCCTGCTAGCTGAATGTTATCATTGTTGTCGTTCAGCCACGACTCCGTGAAACATAAGATATTACAGTTTTTAATGTCCCGTTGGTAGGATAACCGTAATCTTAAATCGTCCATTTTATTCTCAAAAGCTTGAACGTTGGCTAATAGGATTGATGGGAGAGGCAGTTTACTCGTTCGCCGTCAGATCCTTACAAGGCACCCGGATCTGCGTCACTCTGTCATGCTGATTGAGTTAGAATAACAGACTGGAATCTTTAAAAGGAGGATGGTGCTTGAAATCATTGTTCTTCCTCTGTTAACCATGGTTACCTGCAAGGAAACACTTGCCGTCATCATTGCTTTGCACAAAAAGGGCTTCACAGGCAAGGATATTGCTGCTAGTAAGATTGCACCTAAAACAACCATTTATCGGATCATCAAGAACTTCAAGGAGAGAGGTTCAATTGTTGTGAAGAAGGCTTCAGGGTGCCCAAGAAAGTCCAGCAAGCGCCAGGACCGTCTCCTAAAGTTGATTCTGCTGCTGGATCTTGGCACCACCATTGTAGAGCTTGCTCAGGAATGGCAGCAGGCAGGTGTGAGTGCATCTGCACGCACAGTGAGGCAAAGACTTTTGGAGGATGGCCTGGTGTTAAGAAGAGCAGCGAGGAAGCCACTTCTCTCCAGGAAAAATATCAGGGACAGACTGATATTCTGCAAAAGGTACAGGGATTGGACTGCTGAGGACTGGGGTAAAGTCATGTTCTCCAATTAATCCCTATTCCGATTGTTTGGGGCATCCGGATAAAAAGCTTGTCCGGAGAAGACAAGGTGAGCGCCACCATCAGTCCTGTGTCATGCCAACAGTAAAGCATCCTGAGACCATTCATGTGTGGGGTTGCTTCTCAGCCAAGGGAGTGGGCTCACTCACAATTTTCCCTAAGAACACAGCCATGAATAAAGAATGGTACCAACACATCCTCCGAGAGCAACTTCTCCCAACCATCCAAGAACAGTTTGGTGACTAACAATGCCTTTTCCAGCATGATGGAGCACCTTGCCATAATGGAAAAGTGATAACTGAGAGGCTCGGGGAACAAAACATCGACATTTTGTGTCCATGGCCAGGAAACTCCCCAGACCTTAATCCCATTGAGAACTTGTGGTCAATCCTCAAGAGGCGGGTGGACAAACAAAAACCCACAAATTCTGACAAACTCCAAGCATTGACTATGCAAGAATGGGCTGCCATCAGTAAGATGTGGCCCAGAAGTTAATTGACAGCATGCCAGGGCGGATTGCAGAGGTCTTGAAAAATTAGGGTCAACACTGCAAATATTGACTCTTTGCATGAACTTAATATAATTGTCAATAAAAACCTTTGACACTTATGGAATGCTTGTAATTATACTTCAGTATACCATAGTAACATCTGACAAAAGTATCTAAAAACACTGAAGCAGTAAGAAGAAGAACAATAGTTGTGTAATTCTCAAAACATTTGACCACGACTGTAAAGTTGAAGTCAAAAGTTTACATACACCTTAGCCAAATACATTTAAACTCAGTTTTTCACAATTCCTGGCATTTAATCGTAGTAAAAATTCCCTGTCTTAGGTCAGTTAGGATCACCACGTAATTTTAAGAATGTGAAATGTCAGAATAATAGTAGAGAGGATGATTTCAGCTTTTATTGATTTCATCACATTCCCAGTAGGTTAGAAGTTTACATACACTCAATTAGTATTTGGTAGCATTGCCTTTAAATTATTTAACTTGGGTCAAACGTTTCAGGTAGCCTTCCACAAGCTTCCCACAGTAAGTTGGGTGAATTTTGGCCCATTCCTCCTGACAGAGCTGGTGTAACTGAGTCAGTTTTGTAGGCCTCCTTGCTCGCACACGCTTTTTCTGTTCTGCCCACAAATGTTCTATAGGATTGAGGTCAGGGCTTTGTGATTGCCACTCCAATACCTTGACTTTGTTGTCCTTAAGCCATTTTGCCACCACTTTGGAAGTAAGCTTGGGGTCATTGTCGATTTGGAAGACCCATTTGCGACCAAGCTTTAACTTCCTGACTGATGTCTTGAGATGTTGCTTCAATATATCCACATAATTGTCCTTCCTCATGATGCCATCTATTTTGTGAAGTGCACCAGTCACTCCTGCAGCAAAGCACCCCCACAGCATGATGCTGCCACCCCTGTGCATCATGGTTGGGATGGTGTTCTTCGGCTTGCAAGCAACCCCCGTTTTCCTCCAAATATAACGATGGTCATTATGGCCAAACAGTTCTATTTTTGTTTAATCAGACCAGAGGACATTTCTCCAAAAGGTATGATCTTTGTCCCCATGTGCAGTTGCAAACCGTAGTCTGGCTTTTTTATGGCGATTTGGAGCAGTGCCTTCTTCCTTGCTGAGCGGCCTTTCAGGTTATGTCGGTATAGGACTTGTTTTACTGTGGATATAGATACTTTTGTACCTGTTTCCTCCAGCATCGTCACAATGTCCTTTACTGTTGTTCTGGGGTTGATTTGCACTTTTCGCACCAAAGTACGTTCATCTCAAGGAGAGAGAATGCATCTCCTTCCTGAGCGGTATGACTGCTGCGTGGTCCCATGGTATTTATACTTGCGTGCTATTGTTTGTACAGATGAATGTGGTAGCTTCAGGCATTTAGAAATTGCTCCCAAGGATGAACCAGACTTGTGGAGGTCTACAATTATCTTTCTGAGGTCTTGGCTGATTTCTTTCTGATTTTCCCATGATGTCAAGCAAAGAGGCACTGAGTTTGAAGGTAGGCCTTGAAATACATCCACAGGTACACCTCCAATTGACTCAAATGATGTCAATTAGCCTATCAGAAGCTTCTAAAGTCATGACATCATTTTCTGGAATTTTCCAAGCTGTTTAAAGGCACAGTCAACTTAGTGTATGTAAACTTCTGACCCACTGGAATTGTGATACAGTGAATTGTAAGTGAAATAATCTGTCTCTAAAAAATTGTTTGAAAAATGCACAAAGTAGATGTCCTAACTGATTGCCAAAACTATAGTTTGTTAACTAGAAATTTGTGGAATGGTTGAAAAACGAGATTTAATGACTCCAACCTAAGTGTATGTAAACTTTAGACTTCAACTGTAGTCAAGGGCTGTGATGTGAAGCGCGGTGCCTGTATAGTCCTTAGCCGTGGTACAGTATTTTGGCCATATATCACAAAACCCAGAGGTGCCTTATTGCTATTATAAACTGGTTACCAACATAAATAGATCAGGAAACAAGTATTTTTTGAGTCATACTTGTGGTATATTGTCTGATATACACATTGCTGAAATGCTGTTTCAGCAATCCGCATCCAGGACCCAAACTTCCCGGTTTATAATTGTTCATATTCTACCAAATAGCACCTGGTTAAGTCATAATCACTGGCAGTGAATAATGCATTGATATTACATTTTATTGCCATTACTACTATCAGTGGGTAGCTGTTGATTATATAGTTCAGACTGTCTAAATAACATCAGCTGACATATGTATAGACTGTTTCAACAATGTTAGCCAGCGAACTTTCTCCAAACAGTTGAAACAAAGCCTGTTTAAACAATGTCAGCAAACATTGTCCCAATGCTGTCTTTCTGTTTGCAGGGGAAGAGGCCTTAACGATATTTGTGGACAAGAGGAAGCTGAGTAAGAAGGCAGAGGTGAGCGACTACTCTGGCAACTCGTCCAGTGTGACTCTGGAAGCTCTGCACCAGCTGGCTGCCTCCTACTTCATCGACAGAGAGAGCACTTTGCGCAAGCTGCACCACATCCAGATAGCATCCACAGCTATCAAGGTAAACCTACAAGTTGCACCACATCCAGATAGCATCAGACATACACACACAAAAATACAGTACACACACTGACCTTTGGACAGACTCAAGTGGAGCAGCACAGTTGTTTGGCTGATTAGAGATCCTGGAATGTCCCTTGTAAGAAGTGTCAGCATCTTACAAGGGAATTTGGCTATTTGACAATTTGTTGGGCCTTTCTCAGATACCACCTGGCATGTACGTCCTGGATGGCTAGAAGATCGCGGAATGTTGATCAGTAGGTGATGCATTTCCAGGGCCAGGTGTTGACCTCATCTGAACTGAGTAGCTGATGAGATTAATGTTGTGATATGCATGACATACCGGTAGATCACTGTACGTTTTTTATTAAGGAAAATGTATTCTGTTCCTACCATGCTTTCCAACCAAGGTGCATGAATAGACGTTAAAGATATTCAGCAACAACTGAAAAAACACACTAAAAACTATAGAAGTTGAAGTTATTTCAAACACCTGATATGGAGGTATATACATGCCAAAACCTGTTGGATGTGAATGAAAAAAGTGATAGAGATACCTTTAAACTGTTAGGAAGGATTTTGTCGGGCAGAACTATAGTGTGTAGTTATTTACAGTGTATTCGGAAAGTATTCAGACCCCTTTACTTTTTCCACATTTTGTTACGTTACAGCCTTATTCTAAAATGTTTGTTTTTTTCCCTCATCAATCTACACCCCATAGATTTTTAGATTGTTTTGCAAATGTATAACAAACCCCCCCTCCCCCCCCCCCGGAAATATCACATATCAAATCAAATTGTATTTGTCACATGCGCCGAGTACAACAGGTGTAGACCTTACCGAGTCAATGTGCGGGGGTACAGGTTAGTCGAGGTAATTTCTATGTGTAGGTAGGGGTAAAGTGACTATGCATAGATAATAAAACAGCAAGTAGCAGCAGTGTAAAAATAAAGGGGGGGGGGGGGGGGGGTGGGGGGGGGGGGGGGTCAATGTAAATAGTCCGGGGGCCATTTGATTAATAGTTCAGCAGTCTTTTGGCTTGGGGGTAGAAGCTGTTAAGGAGCCTGTTGGTCCTAGACTTGGCGCTCTGGTACTGCTTGCCGTGCGGTAGCACAGAGGACAGTCTATGACTAGGATGACCGGAGTCTTTGACAATTTTTTGGGCCTTCCTCTGACCGCCTAGTATATAGGTCCTGGATGGTAGGAATCTTGGCCCCAGTGGTGTAGTGGGCTGTGCGCACTACCCTCTGTAGCGCCTTACGGTCAGATGCCGAGCAGTTGCAATACCAGGCGGTGATGCAACCGGTCAGGATGCTCTTGATGGTGCAGCTGTATAACTTTTTGAGGACCTGGGGACCCATGACAAATCTTTTCAGTCTCCTGAGGGGGAAAAGGTGTTGTCGTGCACTCTTCACAACTTTCTTGGTGTGTTTGGACCATGATAGTTTGTTGGTGATGTGGACACCAAGGAACTTGAAGCTCTCAACCTGTTCCATTACAGCCCCGTCGATGAGAATGGGGGCGTGCTCAGTCCTCTTTTTTTTCCTGTAGTCCACAATCATCTCCTTTGTCTTGGTCACGTTGAGGGAGAGGTTGTTAACCTGGCACCACCCGGCCAGGTCTCTGACCTCCTCACTATAGGCTGTCTCATCATTTTTGGTGATCAGGCCTACCACTGTTGTGTCGTTCGGCAAACTTAATGATGGTGTTGGAGTCGTGCTTGGCCATGCAGTCATGAGTGAACAGGGAGTACAGGAGGGGACTGAGCACGCACCCCTGAGGGGCCCCATGTGTTGAGGATCAGCGTGACAGATGTGTTGTTAACTACCCTTACCACCTGGGGGCGGCCTGTCAGAAAGTCTAGGATCCAGTTGCAGAGGGAGGTGTTTAGTCCCAGGGTCCTTAGCTTAGTGATGAGCTTTGTGGGAACTATGGTGTTGAACGCTGAGCTGTTGTCAATGAACAGCATTCTCATATAGGTGTTTACTTTGTCCAGGTGGGAAAGGGCAGTGTGGAGTACGATTGAGATTGCGTCATCTGTGGATCTGTTGGGGCGGTATGCGAATTGGAGTGGGTCTAGTGTTTCCGGGATGATGTTGTTGAAGTGAGCCATGACCAGCCTTTCAAAGCACTTCATGGCTGCCGACGAGAGTGCTACGGGGCGGTAGTCATTTAGGCAGGTTACCTTCGCTTTCTTGGGCACAGGGACTATGGTGGTCTGCTTGAAACATGTAGGTATTGCAGACTTGGTCAGAGAGAGGTTGAAAATGTCAGTGAAGACACTTGCCAGTTGGTCCGCACATGCTCTGAGTACACGTCCTGGTAATCCGTCTGGCCCCGCGGCCTTGTGAAAGTTGACCTGTTTAAATGTCTTGCTCACATCGGCTACGGAGAGCATGATCACACAGTCTTCCGGAACAGCTGGTGCTCTCATGCATGCTTCAGTGTTGCTTGCCTTGAAGCGAGCATAAAAGGCATTTAGCCTGTCTGGTAAGCTCGCATCACTGGGCAGCTCACAGCTGGGTTTCCCTTTGTAGTCCATAATAGTTTGCAAGCCCTGCCTGTTTGATGGTTTGTCTGAGGGCATAGCGGGATTTCTTATAAGCGTCCGGATGAGTGTCCCGCTCCTTGAAAGCGGCAATTCTAGCCTTTAGCTCGGTGCGGATGTTGCCTGTAATCCATGGCTTCTGGTTGGGATATGTAAGTACGGTCACTGTGGGGACGACATCATTGATGCACTTATTGATGAAGCCGGTGACTGAGGTGGTATGTTGCTCAATGCCATTGGATGAATCCCGGAACATATTCCAGTCTGTGCTAGCAAAACAGTCCTGTAGCATAGCATCCACGTCATCTGACCACTTCCGTATTTAGCAAGTTACTGGTACTTCCTGCTTGAGTTTTTGCTTGTAAGCAGGAATCAGGAGGATATAATTATGGTCAGATTTGCCAAATGGAGGGAGAGCGAGAGCTTTATATGCGTCTGTGTGTGGTCTAGAGTTTTTTCCCCTTTGGTTGAACATGTGACATGCTAGTAGAAATTAGGTAGAACGGATTTGTTTGCCTGCATTAAGGTCCCTGGCCACTAGGAGCGCTGCTTCTGGATGAGCATTTTCTTGTTTGCTTATGGCCTTATACAGCTCATTGAGTCCGGTCTTAGTGCCAGCATCGGTTTGTGGTGGTAAATAGATGGCTACGAAAAATTTAGATGAAAACTCTCTTGGTAGATAGTGTGGTCTACACTTTATCATGAGGTACTCTACCTCAGACGAGCAATACCTCGAGACTGTTTTAATATTAAACATTGCACAACAGCTGCTATTGACAAATAGACACACATACCCACCCCACATCTTACAAGACGTAGCTGTTCTGTCCTGCCGATGCACGGAAAACCCAGCCGAATGTATGTTATCCGTGTCGTCGTTCAGCCAAGACTCAGTGAAACATAAGATACTACAGTTTTTAATGTCCCGTTGTTAGGATACTCTCGAATGGAGATCATCAAGTTAATTTTCCAGTGATTGCACGTTGGCCAATAGAACAGATGGTAGAGGTGGGTTATCCACTCGCCGACAAATTCTAACAAGGCACCCCTAACTCCGCCCCCTCTATTTCCATCTTTTCTTCACGCTAATGACAGTGATTTGGGCCTGGTCTCGGAGAAGCAGTATGTCCTTCGTATCGGACTCATTAAATAAAAAATATTTGTCCAGTTCGAGGTGAGTAATCGCTGTTCTGATAACCAGAAGCCCTTTTCGTTCACAAGAGACAGTAGCAGCAACATTATGTTCAAAATAAGTTACAAACAATGCGAAAAAACACACAAAACAGCACAGTTGGTTAGGAGCCCGTAAAACGGCAACCATCCCCTCCTGCGCCATTATACTGATTTATACAATAATTCAGACCCTTTACTTAGTAGTTTGTTGAAGCTTTTTTTGGCAGTGATTACAGCCTCAAGTCTTCTTGGGTATGACACTACAAGATTGGCACACCTGTATTTGGGGAGTTTCTCCCATTCTACTCTGCAGATCCTCTCAAGCTCTGTCAGGTTGGATGGGGAGCGTCGCTGCACAGCTATTTTCAGATCTCTCCAAAGATGTTACATCAGGTTCAAGTCCTGGCTCTGGCTGGGCCACTCAAGGACATTCAGAGACTTGTTCCGAAGCCACTCCTGCATTGTCTTGGCTGTGTGCTTAGGGTCGTTGTCCTGTTGGAAGGTGAACCATTGCCCTAGTCTGAGGTCCTGAGCGCTCTGGAGCAGGTTTTTATCAAGGATCTTTTTGTACTTTTCTCCGTTCATCTTCCCTCGATCCTGACTAGTCTCCCAGTCCCTGCCGCTGAAAAACATCCCCACAGCATGATACTGCCACCACCATGCTTCACCTTAGGGATAGTGCCAGGTTTCCTCCAGACATGATGCTTGGCTTTCAGGCGAAAGAGTTCAATCTTGGTTTCATCAGACAAGAGAATCTTGTTTTTCATAGTCTGAGAGTCTTTTAAGTGCCTTTTGGCAAACTCCAAACGGGCTGTCATTTGCCTTTTACTGAGGAGTGGCTTCCGTCTGGCCACTCTACCATAAAGGCCTGATTGGTGTGGTGCTACAGAGATGGTTGTCCTTCTGGAAGGTTCTTCCATCTTCACAGAGGAACTCTGGAGCTCTGTCATTGTGACCATCGGGTTGTTGGGCACATCCCTGACCAAGGCCCTTCTCTCCCGATTGCTCAGTTTGGCCAGGTGGCCAGCTCTAAGAAGAGTCTTGTTGGTTCCAAACTTTCTTCCATTTAAGAATGATGGAGGCCACTGTGTTCTTGGGGACCTTCAATGCTGCAGACATTTTTTGGTACCCTTCCCCAGATCCAGTGGCGGCTCCTGAAAAAATTCTCAGGGGGGGCAATTTTTCTGATGATTTAGGTGACCTACACACATTTTAAAAAAGATATGTCCAGCAACAACATGAAGACAGGGGCAGCATATAAGTCAATACCAGAAGCA